CTATCTGTTCTCGGTCTGGAGTTTCCTTTATAGAACTAACAAGTTATCTGCACCCGGCTGGAGGTTCCTTTATGGAACTGACAAGTTATCCATTCCCAGTCTGAAGGTTCCTTATAGAACTAAAAAGGTAAGGTTCCTTATGGAACTAAAAAGGTATCCGTATCCAGCCGGAGGTTCCTCTATGGAATTGACAAGTATGATCTATGATGCTTTATACATGATCTGTTAGCGCTAACGGATGTACTATGTAAGATTAAACATGAATTCTAATTTCTATATATGCTCTGAACAAGAATACGAATGTGAATCTGTCCTTGATATGAACTCTGGTTTCTGAATTAGTTTTGGGACATCGTTCATTTAACCCTTTACTCTGTTATTATTCACTGGGCTCTCGCTTACTATTTATTTATTATGTATGTAGGTAAGCAGGCTCGTGACCAGGTTTAAGATGATACCTGAAGTATCTTCGATTTCGCTACTATCTGAAGTTGCTGAGGAAAAGAGAAAATCGAAGCAATTAAGTTGTAGAGGTAGTACTTGCAGCACCCAAGTTGCAAAGGCATTCTGTCGGTGCCACCATCTCTAATATCTTCGGTCCTACCGTCTGAACTTGTCGCGAGAAATAACTACCGCAACAACTATGACTGCAGCAACTAAGTTGTAGAGGGAATATCCTGCCAAAGTGATAGCAGCCTTTGAGAGAGACATTTCTTTGTAAGTAGAGGCTAATGTTTGGCACTAATAGCAGGCCCCAAGACTTACTGATTGGAGCTAATAGCAGGCCCAAAGATACCAGTTTACCGCGGTAATCCCACGAAGATGAGAGCAGGGTAGCCCGAACATAAGGAACTCCCTTCCCATTACCCAGGTCATGGACCTGCCTTAGTCGCATAGATAGGACTAAGGAAGTCCCCTTGGGCTTGGTACTAAGATATAGCATGGCTGATAGCAAGCTTGGTTGTGGCCTTCGCCCTTGGAAACAAAAAAGTTTGTGGTTATGTGGCTAAGGGTGGAGGCTTCGCTGAGATGAACACGAACATAGTCGATAGCAGACTAATGAAGTCCTGAGAATGCATGTACTGGCCAAGTAGAACTGAAAAGGCAAATGCAGCTGCAAGGTTGACCGCTATAAGTGCATTTACTGAGGTTCAGGCTGAGAAGGTGAGTGCAGAGGCAGATATTCCCGTTGTAACTGCACTTGTTGAGGCTAAAAAGGGAGTTGCCGCGCCAAACACTCTCGTTGCAACTACACTTGCTGAGGCTCAAAAGGTAGTTGTAGAGGCAAATAGATAGTACACAGTACATGCAGAGGGACACTTGGTATCCTCTTGGCACCAAGGAAAAGCCTATAAATAGGACCCATTTCCCAAGGTTCAAAAGAGAAATTTTAGGGATTTGGGGGAGATGCTGCCCATTTTTGGTACTGCCATACATTTCTTCTTGAGCCACTTGCTTCACCCTCACCTAGCTATACACTCTCCAACTTCCATACAGTTGCTGCCACTCATTCTCTAGCCACTTCCGCCATTGTTGGATCACTACCATAGTTTTGTCTCTCTAATCACCTCTCTAACCTTGAACCTCCCTATAGTATGCTTATAAATTTAATATTATTTATCCCATGTATGTCTGCATAACTCGATGAACTATGTATATTTTTACTTATTTGCTTCCGCAGCCCCTAATTATATGTTATTCTGTTTAGAGGCCTTGGATAATCCAAAGATTACTGGCCGGTTACGACGCCAAACCTACATGGGCGGGTTTGGGTCGTGACACTGCAACCTACCACCTTGCAGATCATGAGAGAGAGAGAGAGAGAGCCGGCGAGGGTTTGTGGTGATAGGGATTCGCCGGAGCTAGAGAAAGGCGACGAGGTAGAGACGGTGAAATGCCGGCGGTTGTAACAATGGTGGCTAAGGTTAGGGTTTGGATGTTGTGTATTCAACTAAGATGTGTATTGATATTCTTTTGTGGTTATTTTGGTCATTTTAGATAAAGTCATTATTGTAATAAAAAATAACCAATTAATGGTGTGCCTTGAGACAAAATGTGGTGTGTAAATAGAAGCACCCATATTGTTGTGGATGGGTGTGTGAGTAAGAACAAATATATAAATTTATGGTGTGTGATGAGCAAAATATATGTTTATTAAATTATTAAAGGTATACTTTTAAAAATAATTTGTCTTAAGATAATTTATAGTGTGTAAATAGAGTCACCTGCACCCGCACCCCATTTCATATCTCATAATTTTCGTAATACCATTTTTATTCCTGAATTGAATTACAAAAGGGGCAAAATTGTAGCCTCAATTTTAGCTGCCATTCTAGCTTGGACTAGCTTGTCTTACCACGCCTCAGTCTTTTCCCACCATCCAGCACCACCTTGATGACTTATTTTAAGAAATTAGTCGAAAGTTGATTTTTTTTTTTACAAAAAATATGTAAAAAATAAAAAATTAATCAGCATATTTGATTTGAGTTTTTTATATTAAATTTTTTAAAAATTTAGTTTTTTGATTTTCGTATTCTTTTGTTTTTAGTGAATATTTTTTAAATTTTAAACATTTTTTTTCTTTTTTAGTTCTACCTTAGTTAGATGTATCTAAAAAATAAAAAACTTATGAAAAAAATATTTTAAAAAATTAATAAATACATAAAAATATAAAAAAATTATTGAATTCTTGTATTTTTTTTATATTTTTGATATTTAGTGAATTTTTTAAAGATTTTTTTACAATTTTTTTACTTTTTAGGTGTATTTATGTTAGGTGTATCTAAAAAATAAAAAAATTGCTTAAAATATTAAAAAAATTCAGTAAAAATAAAAAGACACAAAAAATAAAAATGTAAAATTTTTTGAAAAATAAAAACAAGCAAGCTTAACTCAAAATAAATTAAAAACAAAAAAAATAATTTTTTATTCGCTTGCCAGAACATGCCGATCTCTGTGTCCTTTTCCACTTCTTCAATCCTGCACATTTCTATTTTCTATTTTCTATTTTCGTTGTCACTCGGCTCCGTTTTCAGAGATAAAAAGAACGGGATTCATAATGAGAGGATTATTAGTGAGGGGATTATTAGTGAGAGGATTGATAGTGAAGGGATTGATAGTGAGGGAATTAATAGTGAGAAATTGTTAAATTATTTTTATATAAAATAATAAAACAAATAAAAAAATATAAAAAATTAAACATTATATTTTAAAAAAAATTTCCAATATATAAAAAATAAAAAAATAAAAAAATTTCTAATCCCCTCACTATTTTTCTAATACCATCTCTACCTCCTCCTTACCAATTCCCCTTCCTCCTCCTTACTAATACCAAAGAATTATTAACCCCCTTCCTTTCTCTCAAAACAAATATTACATTCTCAATCCCTTCCTTTCTTCTTTTATGTGCAACTCTATCTTTCCCTTGGCTCTCTTTTTTATTTCTTTCTACCAGCAATCGTGATCGACGGGATTAGGATTAAAATTTGGAAGTAAAGAAAGAGACATGTCAAGAAAAGAAAGGTGCTCTCTCAAACAAGTGCAAGCGTCAAATATTTAAAAAAAAAAAAATCACAAAAAAAAAAAGAAGAAGAAGACACAAAGGCTTTATTTGTTTTGATATAAAATGTTCGTTCTCAAAAATATTTTATTTATTTTTTGTTGTTTGGTTGAATAAAAAATAAATAAAATATTTTTTAAAGAAAATATTTTTGCATCAATTTTCAAAAAATGACTTATTTTTAAAATTTTCGTAAATTAATTTTTATAAAGTTGATTCTCACTCACTGCCTTTCAACACATCTAATTTTTTCAGATTATTATCTTAACTTATTAAAAATTCATAAATGACACTTTATGGAATAAAAATTTCTCTATTAAATAATAAATTTTTTTATTTCAAGTGTCAACCAAATGCCAAAAAATAAAATAAAATATTTGTTGTATAAAATATTTTACGTTGAAATAAATGAAGAAAAAATAAAAATGAAAACTCAAAAATAATTTTCAAAAATTAAGAGATTGTTTGAGATGATTTAAATAAGTATATTTTTAAATTTTTACGAAAAGATGTATAATATGATCCAAAGAAGAAGTGATCTGACCCAAACAAAATAAAAATATGTGTTGAACTAGCACATACCAAACAATTCCTAAACCGAGTCATTTGAGTTTTTTTATTTTTATTTTTTAACAATGCCTCTGTTTGGCAAGTTGATTTTCAGGCTTTTTTGGCTATTTTAGCCACAAAAAACAAAATAGGCTATTTTAGCCATAACAAACAAAACATCACATCCAACCTATAATCATTACATTCTTCTCTCACAAAAAAAGTCAAAAAAGTCAAAAAGCCAAAAAGCCCTTCCCAAACCAAGCTTTTTAGCCCAGGCTAAAATAGCCAAAAAAGCCAAAAAGCCAAAAAGCCAACCTACTTCCCAAACCAAGCCAATGTCATCTGAGTTTATATCTTAGGAATGACATGTCTCCTGTTACAAATTTTAACTAGACCAGTTGTTGATGTCTGTGATCAATAAAAATCGATAAAGGGAAGATTTTGATTGATAAGAATATTTAATTATGCCATGTTTTCATAGACTTTTGCTGATAATAAATATTTGTTTAATGACTTTTATCGATAAAAAACTTTGATCCAATTGAAAGTTGAACTAGGGAGAAGCCAAATCCTTGTATCTTCTATCAATGTGATTATTAACTGTTACTATACGCGCGTTTTAATGAGAGTGGGGCTAAGCAATTACACCCTGGGGAGCGTTGACGTCCTGTTCATGAATAAGAAAAGAAAAATAATTGGGAGCACTAATTAGTGCTCCATTAATTAGGTGACAGTGGGTCTTGTCATTAATGATATGATGTTTTGGTCTTGAAATTGTATTTTTTTATTTTTTTTATTTTTTTAATACATTAGTGTTATTAATGGTGATGTTCTTAGTAGGATGAATCATTATTGATAAAAAAACCTAGGCGGAGGAGGAGAGAGAATACAAAAATATATCCGAATAAACCTTTCCGTACTCCTCTTCACATTCCTCCTTTTCTCACCTTTCCCAATACATTCTTCCCCTAATCCACCCTTTCTTAAATATAATTTCTAAGCTGTTCCTGTTATTGTCATTATTTGATTCAGAATCAAGTAATTAAGCCCTAATTCGTGGTTTTGGATCGGTGATGGGAAAGCCAACTGGCAAGAAGAACAAAGCCATTGGATCGAAACCCAACGACGCAAATCCAAAACAGAGCAAAGTTTCAGATCGAACTTCCAAGGCCTTCGATGAAGACACATCTGTCTTCATCAACATGTCACGGGAATTGAAAGAAGAGGGCAACAAGCTCTTCCAGAAGCGAGATCACGAAGGTGCTATGTTGAAATACGAAAAAGCTCTCAAATTGTTACCCAAAAATCACATCGATGTTGCTCACTTGCGTAGCAATATGGCCGCTTGTTATATGCAGATTGGAATCGGTGAGTACCCGAGAGCTATAAATGAATGTAATTTGGCTCTTCAAGTTGCTCCCAAGTATAGCAAGGCTTTGTTGAAGAGAGCCAAGTGTTATGAGACTTTGAATAGGCTTGATTTGGCTTTGAGAGATGTTAATCTTGTGTTGAGTATAGAACCCAATAATTTGACTGCTTTGGAGATTGCTGATAGTGTGAAAAAAGGTATTGAGAAAGGGGGTGTCAAGGTTGAAGATAAAGAAATTGTTTTGGTCCCTGACTATGTTGCAAAGCCTTCACGGAAGATTGTGAAAGAGAAGGTGAAGAAGAAGAGGGGTAAGAAATTGGTGAGGTCTGAGGCTGAGAAGGAAGTTGAGAGGGAAAAGAAGTCTGAGGACAAGGTGGTTGTGGAGGAGGAGAAGAGGAGTGTGAATGAAGAAAGAGTGGTGACAAAGACGGTGAAATTGGTGTTTGGGGAGGATATAAGATGGGCTCAATTACCCGTTAACAGCGAGATTGGATTGGTAAGAGATGTTGTTAAGGATCGGTTTCCGAACATAGAGGGTGTGCTTATCAAGTACAGGGATCAAGAGGGTGATTTGGTTACTATCACCACAACTGATGAGCTGAGGCTGGCTGAAGCATCTGGTGATAGGCAGGGTTCTTTGAGATTCTACATTGCGGAGGTTAGTCTTGACAAAGACCCACTTCATGAAGTAAAGAACAATGAGGAGGTACAAAAAATCAATAGTAATCCAAGCAAGGTTTTTGAGAATGGGGATGTGGGGAAAGGTAGGGAAACAGAGAAGGGGACATGTTGTATTGATGATTGGATCGTTGAATTTGCGCGGCTGTTCAAGAATCATGTGGGGTTTGATTCTGATTCTTACTTGGATCTTCATGAGCTGGGGATGAAGCTATACTCAGAAGCGATGGAGGACACTGTTACCAGTGAAGATGCCGAAGAGCTTTTTGAAATTGCTGAAGAGAAGTTCCAAGAGATGGCGGCTTTGGCAATGTTCAATTGGGGAAATGTTCACATGTCCAGGGCTAGGAAGCGGGTATTTTTCACAGAAGATGGTTCAAGGGAAACAGTACTAGCACAGGTAAAGAATGCATATGAATGGGCATGTAAAGAATACATGTCAGGAATGCACTATGAAGAAGCTCTAAAAATCAAACCAGACTTTTATGAAGGTCTTCTTGCCCTTGGGCAGCAGCAGTTTGAACAAGCAAAGCTATCGTGGTACTACGCAATTGGTAGTGAGGTTGACATAGAGACAGGGTCCGCTACAGAGATCCTAGAGCTTTATAATAAAGCTGAGGATAGCATGGAGAGGGGCATGCAGATGTGGGAGGAGATGGAGGAACGACGTCTTAATGGGCTCTCCAAATCAGAGAAACACAAAATTGACTTGCAGAAAATGGGGTTGGATGGGCTATTTAAAGATGTATCGGCTGATGAAGCTGCAGAGCAGGCTGCAAACATGAGGTCTCAAATATACCTCTTATGGGGTACCTTGCTCTATGAGCGTTCCATAGTGGAATTTAAGTTAGGTTTGCCAACATGGGAAGAATGTCTGGAGGTTGCTGTTGAAAAGTTTGAACTTGCTGGAGCGTCTCCAACCGATATAGCTGTGATGATAAAGAACCACTGTTCCAATGAATCTGCAGTGGAAGGTTTGGAAAGAAAAAATCTACTGGCACAGTAATCTTTATGCAAATTGTTTAATAAATTTTATTGCGAGTATGTCAGATTTGCTAATGTTCTTTTTTTTTTTTTTTTTATAACAAAAATTTTTTTTTTTTAACTTTGTAGGTCTTGGATTCAAAATTGATGAAATAGTGCAAGCATGGAATGAGATGTATGATGCTAAAAGGTGGCAGACTGGTGTTCCATCTTTCCGGCTAGAGCCATTATTTCGTCGGCGGGTTCCAAAACTTCATTCTATGTTGGAGCATATTTAATTTTTTCGCTCATGATTGGAGATTTTCTAGGACCAGTGAAAGAAAGCACCGGGATTGTTACTTAGTTGTCAGACTATTATGTGGTTACAAGCTGTGATAGGTAAGCCTGTAACTTTGCTTGTTGAATTAATGTTCTTCCTTAATCCTAACGATCTTCTAACGGAGTCAACTATGCAGCCAAAACTAAACATTTGATGTTACTCATTTCTTAAAATTTATGGTGATGTCAAACTTAGTATTTAGGTGAAATTAACATTTAACAGGTTACTGGTGTAATATATCAATCTTACCGCGTAACATTTTAAATCTTATAAAAAAAAATTAGCATTTATTATTGCAAGCTTGAATGGGACGTATGGCTTTGACTCAAAGTAATTCATAATGCTGGTTTGTTACTTCCTGTTAAGTTATGCTGGTAGACATAAATATCCTCAAAATGACTTGGCCAGTAATAAAGATGGATAGTGGATTCATTGCATTGTGGTTAGGATTGAGTTTAAGATAGTCTTTCTTAAGATTGCTTGACATGAGGTTTATTTCTACATACTAGTTGAATTTTTCAAAGTTCTAGCATACTACTAGAAAGTAGTTTCTCTTTGCTGTTTTCAGTTAGGTGTTACATCTTATCCGCAATGTGAACAGTAATGGACAAAACAACTGTGAGTAATGTAAACTAGTCATGTTTTGTCCACCGTGAACAGATGGGGTTCTGGATGCATGGTTGTAGGTATCCTCCGGCATTGTTGTTAAGGGCCTAATTTGGAATGTAGAACCCTTTCATCCTCCAACCATAAAACCTACTTTCATACTTCATGCTCTGAAGTTGGTAGAATATTGTCCATCTCCTTCAAAATCTTTAATGCCATAGCTTTCAATTTGACAATCTTATTCTAATAGTCACAATTCTTGATTTTTTTGGCCCTTCATACCTAAATTGTAGTGGTCTATGTCCATTTGTCAGATCCTATTCCTGTTTGACTTCTTAAGCAGAGACTTTACTTGACATAGGTGACCATTTGATGAATCTACTGATCATTTTTGAATTTTAACCAAAAGGGAATTTTACTTTGTTGTCATAGGTGATCTTTTGATGAATCTTTTCTTCACCTGGTTTTGGTAAAAACATTGGCCTATTTCAAAGATGATTTGAAGGTGTTTGTGCTGGTGAAACTTTCTTTCATTATTTGATTTATATATTTATTTCTTGTTTCTTCGGAGAAATTTCTCCTGTGCAGTGTTTCCAATTCTCACCATATGGCGTATATTGCATTGTTGTCTATGCTGGTGTTGAGTATGTATCATTGTTTTCTATGCTGGTGTTGAAATACCATGCTGTTACTGAGTGAAACATATTCTTTTTCCTGATATTGCAGGTTTTCTTCATGGATTGTTATTTTCACCATTAAGAAGTTGTTTTTGGAAGCAAAGATACAGAGTTTGTTGTTGAGTGTTGGTTTTGGAATGGGAGTGAGTTATTTTTTTGATTGGGCTGCAAAGACGCATGTAGCATTCTTTCCCCTCATTTGTGGATTTTATTCTCCTTCATTAGGGGATTTATTATCAAAGACGACATGAAGAAGCAGGAGTCTTATTCTTTGTTGTCAGATTGTTCAGAGTTTGAGATAGTGGGTAAATGATTGGTTTTGTAAAGTCATTTGAACCAATAAGCAGTGGTAATATTTGTTATACTATTCATTTGTTAGTTGCTTCATGCTTGCTTATTCATAAAATTCTTTTTGGGTTCCAGAAGTGGCATGAAACTTATGTCTACTTATTTAATTGATTTGTCGTTCTTATCATACCTTCTTGAATCTATTCATTGTGGATCTTGACATCCCAGGAGAATTTGATTAGTCTGAAGTGTTTTTCCTAAGATTGAAATAGATGCATTGTGTTCTTTATAGCTTTTTGGATGAGAAATTTTTCGTTTTTCACTTGCTTGACTAGGGACAATTTTAGGGTTTGAGTGACATCTTTTCTATTTCTCATATGATTGATTATGGTGATGCCACTTTACTCTGTTGGCCTACTTCCTTTGCTCTGAGTTGCCCTAACAAAGGTTTGTTGGGATATGTTAGATTAATATATTTTTTGACTTTTTATGAAAAAATATAAAAACAAAATAAAGAGGTGATGTGACTTAAAAAAGATAAATTTTTTTTTTTTTTTCAGTGCTAGCCAAACAATTTCCAAGTATTGTCTTTATTATTATTATTATTATTATTATTATTATTATTTAAACTTTAATCAATGCCCTATTAAAAAGTAGTTTTTTGGTTTCAGGATTTATTATTTTTTTGAAAATTGAAATTTTTTATTTTTCTTTTCACTAATTTTTTAAAATATTTTAATCATTTTTTTTTAATTTTTAGATACACCAAATATAAATACATTTAAAAAGTACAATATTTGTGAAAAATATTTTTAAAAAATTCATTAAATACTAAAATTACAAAAAAACAAAAAAAGAGAATTCAGTTAATTTTTGTATTCTTGTGTATTTATTTATTTTTTAAAATATTTTACTTTTTAAATACATTTAAGTAAGGTGTATCTAAAAAAATACTTAGCCTCTGTATGGGAAGAGGCTTTTAGGGCTTTTTTTTGGCTAAAATAGCCACAAAAAATAAAATAGGCTTTTTAGCCCAATAAGAGAAAACATCACATCCAACCCATAATCATTACATTCTTTCTCTGCCAAAAAAGCCAAAAGCCCTTCCCAAATTAGGCTTTTTAGCCCCAGGCTAAAATAGTCAAAAAGTCAAAAAGCCAACCCACTTTCCAAACGACACTTTAAAATTTTGAAAATACTTACTAATAACAAAAAAAATACAAAAAATAAAAAATTTAATTTTCAAAAAATTAGAGATTTTTTTAAGGTCCCTAGTATTAAGATTTTATCGCATAAAGGACATTCAATGTTTTCATAATGTCCAAGGTCCTTCAACATCGATCCAGAGAATTTCTAGTTCACAAAGAATTTCTCTGATCGAATTTTCTCTGGACTTCACAGAGAAATTCTGGTTCACAAGGCTCCATTATTATTGAGAATTTCTCTAGATTATAAATTTGAATTGTTGAGAATTAATTTGGACTATAAATCTGTAATTTATTGTAGGGTGCATTCACAAGGCTTCAAAATTTATCTGCTTTGTTCTTACCTAATCCAGAGAAAATTCAAAGCACGCCAGAGAAATTCAAAATTTCTTTGCTTTGTTCTTACCTGATTTAAACAAAATTCAAACCACTCCAGAAAAATTCAAAATTTATCTACTTTGTTCTTACCTGATCTAGAGAAAATTTAAACCACTCTAAAGAAATTCTTTCTCCACAAAAATTCTTTGATAGCCTTCATCATCATCATCATCTTCTTTCTACATCAAATAAGCAGCTGTAGCAGCACCATGAAAGCCATAGAAGCAATAACACTTTGATCGCATCAACACAAATGCACAACAAGACAAATGATTAACTGGAGGTAGCATGAGGCAATAATAGTATCAACTCCACCCATTAATGGCTTGATTTGACCCTTTTAGAATAAGCTGGACAACAAGCAGATACAACAACTGCAAACTAGCCACGCATGATCTCACTTGAGTCAACAACAGCTCAAAGAAAAGAGAAAATAATACTACCACAACTCTAAAGAAATTCTGGGAATCCAAATTTTTCTGGACTGGACTTCTCAGAGAAATTCAACAGACTTGATCATATTCAAACAATCTCTCCGCGAGCATTTCTCTCTCAAGCTCTTCAACACAACATGTATTAAGCTATATAAACCATAAATGATCAAAGAGTTCTAAGAAACTCACAAGAAAAATAGACGAAAAATAACTTGTTCAATATAAAAATACATAAAAAACACACAACATAAAAGTTTAGAGAAATTTGTAATAATTATAATTTCTTTGGATTGTAACAACAAGCTTTTAATTTCTCTGGACGAATTTTCTTTGGACTTCGCAGAGAAATTGTGGAGAGAAAATTTGTGTAGAGAAAACTTGTGTGGCTTTATTTAGAGAAAATTGTGTAAGAGAAAATTTGTATGGTATTGTGTGGCTCTATCCAGAGAAAATTGTGAAGTGAAACAATGAGCAATTTATAGTAATCACCCAGTAAGTAATCAACAAACATGGATTCACATAGAGCGCAAAGATGTTAAAAATATGTGTTTCTTAGTCAACATGGTCCCATAACAAACTCCAACCACAATGCGATCCCTAGCCAATTTCGCTGCTTTTTGTAAATACCAACTTAATCAAATACATTTTCAGATATATGTATATAGAGAGAAAGAGAGAGATAAAGAGAACTTTGAGGAAAATACGGTGACCGTCATGTAATCGGTTGAAGGTGCCTCTGATTATGACGGATCCGAATATATATGGCAGGGAAATTTCAGAATCTACTGCTGATTCATCCGAAATCGCCATTGAAATAGGTAGAGAGAGATTGCGAAATAGAAAATGAAGAAAAACAAAAACGAATGGATTTTAATGATGATGCTGCAATTTCACAACAAAATCAGAAAAAGTAGGATTGATTTCGAAGTAACTACTCAATTGAAGCCCCGTTGTTCCGTTGGGAAGATGCTAAGCTACAGTGAACCTGGACCAAAATAAATAATAATCATTAATAAAAGAGTAGTTAATGGAGGAGCTTGACACCGACCTCGACGGCTTCATCAGTCTCGAAGAGTGCAGGGCTGAAGGATGCTTTCGAGCTATATGATTAGGATAAGAACGGAGTGATCTCGTCTTTGAGATCGACGAGAGAGAGAGAGAGATATATATATCAAATTTTTCTGTGATAGATGAGTGTGGGTTTAGGGACCTTAGATATCAAAAAATAATATTGTGGATCTCTTCTGAGAGGGTGATTTATGATCTGGAGTTGGGCTGATGTATCGACCGAGCAGGCTGAGAGCCCAACAGTGCATCGGGCCGAGATGATCGACTGTTCGACCAGAGAAGGGCTGCCAGAACTCGGGCCGGGCAGAACTTGGGCCGAGTGCGTCCCGCCCGACCGTAAAGAAGCAGCTCGGTAAGGCAGTGCTCGGTCAGACCAGGATGCTCGGTCCGAGGATGGCTGAAGCCAGACAAGCTGAGTGACCGGCGCCCGGAAAGGCGTGGTCAACCGAGAAAACTGTTTGACCGGCAGGAAGGCCGACCAAAGGAGGTACCCGGGCAAGGCTCTGCCGGGATGCCCCCTAGCCCGGTGCTCCATGTGTTTACCCGGTTAGGCGCTGGAATATGAAGCATGGCGCGGCCGTGATAGAGCAGCTCGGCTGCCGAGCTCCAGCTGTGAAGTCAGGCAGTTGAGATTAGGTGATGATCGGCAAGGTTTACGCTGACAGATGGGATAGAAGAGCCACGTGTCAGGAGATGACTGGGAGTGGATATGGGACTCAGAAGGTATATAAGCATGTCTGCGCCCCCCATACGCGACACAAGAACATATCTGTAAGGACTTCTTACACTCAAGCACTCTCTCCCTTCTCTCGATCCATCCTAAGGTGTGTGCTAACTTGACCGTCGGAGGGTTTTTCCGGCCATACACCGCCGGGTAGCTCACCATTACTTGCTCGCAGGTGATCGGACATCGACGGAGCTCGGAAGAAAGGAATACTTAATAATGGTCAATGGATCCATGAACTTTATATCAACCTGGTCAAGGGGTTTGTTTGTTTGTTTTTTTTTTTTTATTCACAAAAGTGAGAGTTATTATTCGGTGGATTCTAGAAAACTTAGACCTGAAGTTTTGGTAGATTCCAGAGTAGTTCATCATTGTAGATTCGACATCAGAATTGTGGATTCAATATTGGGCAATGCGGTTCCATGGTGAAGATGGTGGTAGAAAAGATAAATTGGGATCGATTTAATTCGAGCTTGTATTCGTTAGGCAATTGTGGGTACACTTGTATAATTCTTTTTTGTCTTATTAGTGGATTGTTTTGTGATTTTAGCCTGTGATTTTTTTATCACAGTTAAAGGCGCTCTAATTATGATTTTTCTATGTTAAATCGCCGTGTCGATTTGTCTTTTATTATTTGATTAAAATTATTATTTTTGATTTAAAATTAAAATATAATCAGAAATCAATGTACTCACAATTTTTAAATTTTCAAGTTGAATGAAATTAATAATGTAACACACGCATGCTATATTAGTAATACCATGTCATGGGATAGGTATGTATCACTCTTGGAACAAATGGTAGCACTTGAGGGTTATTTTCTCTCCTTTATTTAATGTTGAAAAATAAAATTTTAAACTTTATCTAAGTATTTTATCTTACTCTAAGTAAATATAATACAATAATTATAATCACTACAAAAAATTAAAATTTTACAAACAAAAATTTATAAATAAAAATATTTTTAAGAGATAAAATATTTGTGTTATTAAATGTATGATTATCGTTTTTTTAACGATGAAATCAGACATTTAATAATGAATTACCATCTTTTTGGAGCAAACTTTTTTTCTGAAAAAAAAAAAAAAGAAAAAAAAAAACGTGCACAAACAGTGCTTCTTACAGGGATGCACGCAAGCCCCATCATTTACAGATTGACAGATTCATATGTTCATAACTTCGGGTACTCTCTTTTTTCCGAGGACTGGAAGGTTAAACTCATTTCCTGAGACTTCAGTATTGTGGAGAATTAGGATTATGTTGTTTTATCATGGGTTTATAGTTTTCTATGTTTACTCATGTGTATTATCATGGCTAGAATAATCCACACTTTGGTCGTCAAAGAAGTTTTCCTTTCCAATCATATAAATAAAAAGAC